TTTATATCTATGGACATATATCTACACACACACTTTATGTGCATATACATTTATAAATAATTTTTAGAAAATGTGCATATGTCTACAAATATAACTTAGATGTATATATGTATATATATACACACACATAAAATATATGTGTGTATATACTTCTATATACATGTATATATATAAATACATTAAATATATAAAATATATGTGTGTGTATATACATGAAAATATAAAGCGTAAATACTTTATATTTTATTTCTATGTCTAGCTATAATTTATATAAATATATTTTAATAAGTTTTCTATAAATATACAATATTTATTATATATAGACATTGATATGTTTTTATACATACATCTATATATTTATATATACACACATTGGTATATTTATATATATGAATACACGAATATATTTATATATATATACACGGATATGTTTTATATATATAAATACATTGATATATTTTATATATATACAAATACATTGATATATTTATATATATAAATACACTAATATATTTATATATATACACGGATATGTTTTACATATATATAAATACATTGATATATTTTATATATATTACAAATACATTGATATATTTATATATATATAAATACACGGATGTTTTTTATATATATAAATACATTTATATAATTTTTATATATTACAAATACACTAATATATTTATATATTTATATACACTGATATGTTTTATATATATATAAATACATTGATGTATTTTATATATATTACAAATACACTGATATATTTATATATATATATACACGGATGTTTTATATATATATAAATACATTTATATAATTTTTATATATTACAAATACACTAATATATTTATATATATACATGGATGTTTTATATATATATAAATACATTAATATATTTTATATATATTACAAATACACTGATATATTTATATATATAAATACACGGATGTTTTATATATATATAAATACATTTATATATTTTTATATATTACAAATACACTAATATATTTATATATATATATATACACGGGTGTTTTATATATATATATATAAATACATTTATATATTTTTATATATTACAAATACACTAATATATTTATATATATAAATACACGGATGTTTTATATATATAAATACATTCATATATTTTATATATATTACAAATACATTGATATATTTATATATATAAATACACGGATGTTTTATATATATATAAATACATTTATATATTTTTTATATATTACAAATACACTAATATATTTATATATATATACATGGATGTTTTTTATATATATATATAAATACATTTATATATTTTATATATTACAAATACACTAATATATTTATATATATATACATGGATGTTTTATATATATATATATTTTTTATCAGGGGCTTTAAATAACAGGGAGAGAAAGGGCAACCTCACAGCGTTTAATGCTTGGGAGGAAAATTCCAGATCCTGGAGATGTCGGGATTCCCAAGGCTGCACCCACAGGTGTTCCCTGCAGATGAGAGCTCTTGTATTTTGGAATCAACAGCCAGGAATTTTTATTGTTGCTTTGGAGTTCTCCTCAGGAAAATGACACCTTCCACTAGCCCAGACTTACCTTAGGACAATTCCAGAGATGTGGAAAACCTGATCCTAAACCCAACCCTAAAGCTTTTCCCTCAAAGGACACAAACCCCGGACAAAAAAAAAACCAGGAATTCCAAGGTAATTCCACATTCAATGTTTATTTCTTTGTCATACAAATAGAAACGTGTGCCCCAAATCTCGCCTGAAAGTTCTACCTGGATTGTTTTTTAAAAAAAAAAACCCCACGGAACATTCGTTCATCCTGACGGTTAAAAAGCTGCGTGGGAAAGGAACAGAGGGTTCAGGAGCCTTGTCCCAACAAGTGACATTTTCCTGCTGGAGCATCTGCCACTTCTCCCAAAAGCTCTCAAGCCACAACGTCCCCATACAATCACTCGCTCGTCAGCAAAGAGGCTGATGAGAGGAGAATTTTTTTTTGTTGTTTTTTTTTGTAAAAATCAGTTTTTAAGAAGAGATTTTTCCTACTGGAAGGAGTAAAAACCGTGAAAAATCCTCGAGTCCAATTCAGGGAGGCACAGACTCCAACGCTTCTTGGAAAAGCCGGGTTCAAGGAAGACTCTCTTTGGCGGCTCCGTCAGGAAGATACAGCATCTGGAATCCAAGAGTGCAGCTGGACAGACTTTGAGTCAAAAATAAAGGTGCGTGTTGAGCGCCGAAACAACAGAAAAAAACCCAAGTCCAAAGCGGTTTGAAATGTTGGGACACACACACAAACACAAATTCCCTACCCAGTTTCTAGGGATCCATGCATGATGTCTGGATAGGAGCGGCGGAGCTACGGAAAAAAGAAACGATGATTGCGGTTATTTTGGGTCGGTGTGGAAGTGGGTTTTGTCCATAGGTTATTCAATACTTACTGCAGCAGTGTCAGTGAAGAGCCTGATAATGGAATTCAGCCCCTCAGAGCTGAATTTCCACCTGCATTTCCTAACAGAGCATCCCTCACGTCTGTAGCTGTAAATTTTGATTTAAAACACAACTTTTAAAACGCTACCAACATCTTCAGCACGAGCTGAAAGGCATAAAAGCCTGGTGAGGTACGAGAGCAATGCACTGCTCTGGGGCTGGACACTCCACTTTTAACCCAACTACCACAGAATTCCCAATTTTTCTTTTCCCACCTCACTGTGAGGAGTTTGAAATCCAATTGTGCGAATCGTGTCGGACACGACAGGAGTTACCTGGGGGATTCTTCTCGCCTCATTTAGAAAACCAAGAGCTAACGAAGGGATTCATTTAATCAAAAAAAAGAAAAGGACCAAAATCTCAAACATCAGATTCAGCTACAGGACAACGATGTGGCTTTTCCTGCCCCCCGCCCTCCACCATCTCCACCCGAGAACTGAGGCCGCAGACGGAATCCAGAGGAACCCAAAACCAAAGGAATGGAGAAAAACAACTTCATGGACACGGGTGTATTCTGCTGTCTGGTGTTGTCCCGGGATAGCACCACCACAAAAAGGTTGGACACGGCCTAGTGGAACTGGACAAACTCCTCCAGAGTTCTGGGGATCTGGTTTTGGTAGCTGATGTTGTAGATCCGCACGGCGCGGGCAGCCAGGCACTTGAGACTCAGCTTCATTTGAGTTTTAAGGAGGATTTCGGACACCCCGGTGGTACTTTTATCCAGAGGGGTTTTCTTCTGCTTGTTGGTCATGTCCGTGTGGGCGCCGGCCTCCACCAGGCTGATGATGATGGAGTGCAACGTCAAGAAGTCGCTGATGGGCCGGTGGTACTGCACGATGATGTGCAGGGGGCTGTTGCCCTCGTTGTCCACGGCGTTGACGTCGGCGCCGCAGTCCAGCAGCAGCTTGGTGACCAGGGCGTTGGGGAAACTGCACACGTCGTTGGTGTGGAAGTCGTCCACGGGCGTGCCCGAGTTGACGGCGTGGTGCAGCAGGCTGGCGCCGTCGCGCGTGCGCGGGTCCAGGTGGATCAGGTTGTAGATCTGCTTGTTGATGCGGGACTGGTCATCCTCGCTGCACTGCGTCTTGGTGGAGATGCACACCAGGTAGAGGAAGGTGAAGATGTTGCACTCGTAGTTGTCCATGGCCGTGTGGATGTCGGCGTCCGGCGTGGTTTTGATGCGCGCCATGCCCTGCTCGATCTCCAGCACGCTGCAGCGCAGCACGCTCTCGATGTCCTTGGCTTTCACGGGCTCGTTCAGGTGGATCATCTGGGAGAAGACCTGGGCGAACCTCAGCAGGTCCTTGTGCGTGTTCCTGTTGCCCTTCTGCCGCAGGTGCAGGGCGTGGAGCCAGAGCTTGATGCACTGCTCGAACTCCATGTTGTCCGCGTAGACCGCGCCCCGGTAAATGATGGGGTGGGAGACGTCGATATTGTCCGAGCCCAGGATTCTCTCCCGCACTATGAGGCCTTCCATGTGAAGGGCATCTCTGTCCTGCCTGATGGACTCTAGCTCCTGAGGGGTCCTGCATTCCGACCTGTTTCCGTAAGCCTCGATCTGGGGAAGCACCTCCTTCTCGATGACGTTCTCGCTGTCGCGGTACCTCTCCAGCATGGCTAAATATAAATAGTGGTAAGTCTTCAAAATGTCGTAGTTCTCCCTGTCGTTGGCAAACGAGGCCCCCAGCAGCTCCAGAGCTTCGATCCTGCTCCTCCTGTCGCAGTCGGCGTGAGCCAGCAGCAGCTCCACCACGTCGGCCTTGC